CAAATTTATAACGCTTTGATTATGCCCCATTTTGATTACTGCAGCCCCGTCTGGGACTGTTTAAGTGGCTACTTGAGCGATAAGCTCCAAAAATTACAGAATCGAGCAGCCAGAATTATTACTAAATTACCCTTTGATACGAGCTTAAACCACCTTCTCTCCACCCTCGATTGGGAGAGGCTATCTCTTCGACGAGAGAAACAAAAAGCCATAATGATGTATAAAATTATAAACAACCTTGCTCCCGAATATCTGCAAAGTCTTTTCTCTCAGCATCACTCTGTGTACGACACAAGAGACTCTGAGGGAAGGCTGGCCTTGTCCAAACCAAACACCAATTATTTGAAACGAAGCTTCTCTTACAGCGGGGCCATGTTATGGAATAAATTGCCCAAAAACTTAAAGAATGCCTCATCCAATATCCATTTTAGGCGAAATCTTAACTTAGTCGATATATAGGATTCCCACACGGCAATCATGTAAAGCAGTTGATTAATCTTAGTTTTTATTATGTAACTGATGATTTTCCGTGTTTAAACTTTATGATAAAGATTTACATACACATACATACATACATACATTTTAATGTTTTTGTTTTCTTTTATGGGCAACGTAAAACAAGCACATTAGAAGGTAAATGAGTAAAATTAGAGTGGTAAATAAACGGAATTTGACAGTAAAGTATTCACTTTATCAAAGGATAAAGAAAACTTACACAGTTTTTGCCGGCATGTAAAGAAGAATCGGTACCACTGCTGAGGCATCATGCCCGTAAACTATAAAGCCCATCTTTTTCAGCTTTTGTCGGAAGTACCTGTCGTGTAAACAGCACAAAGATTAAGTAAAGTAATCGCCGCACGATGGTTTCTTAATCACTATTTGGGGATTTAAGCAAAGACGTTTTAGAGATGCGGGGAATCAATTAGTACCAGACCCCCCTCCTTGACCTCTCGCCGCTTGCTTTGCTCGGGGCCTACGAAACGCTGGTGCCGCAGTGCAGTGCCAATAATGAGAACCACTGTTTTAGGATTTTAAATCAGTGGCTAGAGATACTCAAGATCTTTCGTAAGCGCCAACTGAGATGCTAAGGAAATATAACCTGCTTCACCAACTGGTTGTCGTTCAACCCCATAACTGGACTCGAAGCTTCGTAAGGAAAAAATTCGCCTAAGTATTCATATAAGTCTACATACTTGCAATTCTGTGCCAATCTGATAAGCCTCTGTTTTCCTGAGAACATAACAGAAATTTTAGTTGAGACGAGAAGTAACCCTCCCTACACTTTAATATACAGACACGATCTCACAGAAGTTTTTAGTCGAGAAAGCTCTAGCACTGACCTACAAATGAGGAAATTGTGGCTTTGTGAGAGAAGAAAAGAAAGTAGCCTTCACTCTTTTCGAGTTTGGCACTAAGACAAATGAAGAAACAGATTGGCTCCTTGGACAAATAATCTAGAGCAAACGAAAGAAAAAAAATTCTACGCAAGCTGTAAAATCGATGTTAGTTAGCTAAGGCTCTCGCGCTAAATTCTTGGCATTCGCCAAAAGATACAGGTCTCTCCTAAGAGACTGCTTTTTTCCCACAAGTAACTGAAAACCTTTAACCTAAAACAATGAGTTTACATAGACGCACTATGCGCTCTTCTTCCGCTAAAGGAGAATTCTCCCTAAAACGAGGTTGTATTAGCTTCTAACACTTGACCACCGACTAGTGGAATTGAAGGCTTGGGGGAGAAAATAAAAAACGGGCATGCGCAAGGAATCCATTCTGACCGCCCGTGCGCCAATTTCCCGCCCAAAATTTCACGGAGGGAAATATAAGAAGCAACCGTGTGGTTGTTCATAACTCGTGTGAAACAACTTGGTTCTGACAGCCTGAAAAACACGCCACCTAGTCATTACAACGTTCTCACATGCGTAGACGTTTGACCGCTCTATTGAAGGGATGTACCAGAACTTTTCACATTTTATTACCAACCTTTACTTGTACCGTCCTCGCCCATAATTATTTTCATAGAAGATATTATTTGCATGACCACTGGAGGCGACATGAAAGAGGCGTACGCAGCACTATGGGAACTTCCTTTTATATGGTCTATTATGTCCTAGAAGAAATAATAAATGACATTTCGTTGTAACTTGTAGCTGTCGAATCGCCACGTTAGCTTAATTTGAGATCATTAAAATGAAATACACCTGGCTGCAACTTCATGAGAATTAACAAATTTAATTGTACAGGTGGTTGTAGATCAATGCTCAATATTGCCATTAAGTATTAAACTGTAGTACTTAGGAGTGTCATTAGAGAGATCGAGCACCGCGTTTACGTGAAACGGCAAACGTCAGCTTGCCCTTTCACGTTACACGTAAAATAGCGTGAACCTTAATGCTCTAGTTTCGCGTAAGCTGACGTCATGGTGGATTTCAGGGCGCCTTGTATGATTTCAAAGAAATAGTTTTGGTGCCCTTTCCGGCAACTAACTTTTACTCTGAGAGAAAAAGCGAAGAAAATCTTACTTACACTGTACACGGCAAACACGAAACACGTAACGTAGAAATGGCAAAGCGCAACCGGCAAACGTGAGAAAATGGCGGGAAAAAAGCGAGGTCACGTGGTCACTCTTGCCGTTCACCGCGTTTCGCGTAAACGCGGTGCTAAATCTCTCCAACACCTCAAAACCAAACGAGTGGTTCTCACCTGTGAGGCAGCAATGTAACCGCCAGCAGCACCAAAACTCTTTGTAAATGTCCCCATCATGATATCGACATCTGCAGGGTCCACGCCAAAGTACTCTGTTACGCCCCTTCCGTTTGGGCCCATGGCTCCAATGCTGTGGGCCTCGTCTAGGTACAAGTATGCTTTGTACTTCTTCTTAAGGGCTACGATCCCTGGGAGATTTGCGAGAGAGCC